GCATTTTCATTGTTTGCTGCCCCCCCACCAGTTTATGCAGTGGGTCTCACAGGGTGAGGGTGGGGTGGGGGTGGGGGGGTGTCTGTCTTGACTTGTCACCCTCACTGCTGTTATTTGAGTCAAGTTGTACCACTCACCCACCCACGGTCCCAAACCCCAGATTCTGGTATCTTTCAGGAAAGAATCCTTGGCCAGAGGAAGAAGGCATCAGGATCTAGGACTCTACAGGCTTGAGATTCAGTGTTGCTAGCAATATGCAATTGCTGTGGAACAATCCTTCTGGACACTATCAATATGTGTTACTCTCATTGGTTAATAAAAGGCTGACATTCTGGTAGCTGGGCAGGAAGTTAGGTTGGAAAGCCAAACTGAGAATGGCGAGGAGGGCGGAGTCAGAAGAGATGCCAGCCAGCTGCCGAACAAACAGGACATGTGGAAAATGAGGTAGCAGGTCATGAGCCACGTGGCAAAGCATAAATAGAAATATGGGTTAATTTAAGTGTAAGAGTTAGCTAGTAACAAGCCTGAGCTATTGTCCGAGCATTTATAAATAATACTAAGTCTCTGTGTGGTGATTTGGAAGTAGCTGCCAGGACAGGGAGCAGGCAGTCAGGACAGGAAAACATCTGTTTACATATAATACTGATGGATCCCCAGGCAGCCACCTGCCCTTCTTGGTCTCAGTTTCTTCACCTGTCAAGTGGACATGCTAGTACTAGACCTACCTGCCTCAAGGAATTGCCTTGCAATTCCTTCTTAGAAGAGGAATCAGGGGCTCCCTGCTGCCTCTTGTGTTGAATCTGACCCCAGCACAATGCGTTTGGTAACAGTGTCTTCTCACTGATGACTCCAAGCAGGAGCTAATGGGGAAAGTGACTCCAGAAGATGACAGAAAGTGATGTTGAGTCATCATAACACTGAGTCTGAGTGGCATCTTTGTTGCCTGGATACGGTTGGTGCTCTGGGCTTCCACAGAGAAGCAGGGCAGCCTGCTCGCACTGGGCCCACGCCTGCTGACGGGTATGTGAACACCAAAATGTGTCTCACAAGAACACGTGGGTAATCTTCTCTTATGGTCCCAGTTTAACTTCAAAATGTCTCCCTGGTGGATAATGACATGATTGTTGTCATAACAACCATCACTTGGAAGGCTTTCCTCAGTACCAGAAGTGAATTAAATTCTTACCCAAGTTGCAGCTTTCATTGCTTTAAAGATTTATCTCCTTAGGTGTTTGTATAGGTGTGTGTGTGTGTGTGTGTGTGTGTGTGTGTGTGTGTGTGTGTGTGGTGCAGGTGCCCTTACACATGCATCGGAAGCCAGAGGAGATTGTTGGCTGGCTTCCTCTGTCACTTTTGCCTCTGTCTCTGTCTGTCACAGCTAGGCTGGCCAGCCTGTGAACTCCCAGGACCTACCGGTCTCTATTCCCTAATGCTGTCATTACAGGCACATAGAGCCAAGCCTGGCCTTTTTTGTGAGTGCTGGGATTTGAACTCAGGCCCCCAGGCTTGCATAGGAAGCTTTCTTACCTATTAAGCTATTTCCTCAGCTTCCTTCCACCTTTTGCTCCCCCAGACAGGATCTCATGCCTCCCAGGCTGGCCTCAAAATCACTATGTGCTGAGAATGATGTTGAACATTGACCCTGCAGTTTCCCTCTCTCAAACCCCGGAATAACAGGCATGTACCACTGCACCTGGTTTATGAAGCGCTGAAAATCAAACCCAGGGCTTTAAGAATGCCAGGCATGCAACTCTGGTACAACCTGAGCCCTCCCAGCTCTCCTTGCTGAGGTAAGACACAGGCAAGAAGGATCTAAGGGTGTTGGTGCTCGGGCCTCAGATTGGCACAGCTTGACTTGGAAAGTCAACATGGAATTGTGCCATCTGAGTCACCCAGCAGGGATTATCTTCTGATTGTCCCGTGGCCCTGCTCCAGCAGTGGCCTGGGACTGCCTCTGTATCCAGTAAGTATGCAGCTGTTGCCAGGGACCTGGCCCAGAGCTGAGAAGGTGCAAGTGCCCGGTCTGTTTACAGTCTACACTTTGCATCAGGATGATGGGCATTCAGGAAGAAGGGACCCTAACTTGGCCCAAATCATTGAGCTTGCCCAAACACGGCTTGGCAGAGTGGAAAGGGGAGACATCGTTGAGTCACACACATTTGATCCAAGCTGTAGAACCGTCACTCACTAGCAGCATAAGGGGTGACCTTCCAAGTCACCCCTCTGAGTCCTGTCCCCCATACCTGTCAAGATGGTGGCTATCAGGGTTGATGTGGCCATCAGAATGTGCCCGTGGCTAGGTGACAGCTCTGTGACACCGGAATACCTGATGGTCTGAATGTCAAAATCTAAAGACCCGCTCTGCTCGCTCAGTTCCAGCCAGCCTGTGGGTCACAGCAAGTCTCTTTTGTATGTCCGTGTGTTCACGTTTGTGCCTGTGTAGGTGTGCATATGTGTGAGTGTGCA